GGTGCGCTTAAATAAGTAACGATTTTTTAGAGGGTGCACTTCTAATTGAGGATCGGCCATAAGCGCATTGCTCCAGATGGAAGCGCATGCGCGTTTAATAGGCCTGCGGTTATATCCAGGGCGATACGGTATTTTACAACCAACCATTGTTCATCTAGTAACGACTCAAGCAATCACAGCTAGAGGGTTAGTCCCATAACATCTACAAACGTTTGTTAGGGGTGATAATACACCTGCTTTGTCAAAATAGTAGGAGTAGGAGCACATTGATTGGAAATCCAAGAACAGCTAAATACAAATACCGTATCTCACAACATCTAGATGCAACCCAAAAAGAACTGTACATTTGTTGCAACAATACCAAGAACAGCTACAAAGTCTAAGAATAAAATAAGCTGTCTAAGAAAAGCCAAGAGCGGACCAAACAGATACGGTAGGTTGTAGGAATACCTAAGCTTCTACTAGAAAATCTCTGACCAAAGCTTCTGCCATGCTGCCATCCAAGAATTGCTACATGAACTAACATGCTATAATGATGTAATGCCACACTGCCATAATGCCACACTGCCGTACTATTACGTTGCCATGTATCATGCCAACATTGTTAAATGTCATATCTGCTACAGTTTGTTTAGGCTGTAGTGGGGTAGTTACTTAGGATACAGTAAGTTTAGGGTTTCCTACTTGTACCCAACTCTTTCCTAGTTCAATCACTCTTGTTCATTCTGACATGGTATCACGAGCCTAGGTTGCCACCTAGGACCGCATCCTACTACGGGCCCACTATTCCGCTAGAAGCGCCCTCGTGCGCCTCGCCCTTCATTCTGACTGCATGCCGTCCTGCAGCCCTCCTGCTGCCCTAGGCCAGTGCGCCGCCCCTACAAGCTAGTAAGGCCCTCGAGCCGCCCCTGCAGGTCCGTCATGCCCCCGAGCCGCCTCTGCAGACCCGTCAAGCCCTCGAGCCCTCTTTGCAGGCCCGTCAGGCCTGAGAGCCGCCCCTGCAGGCCCGTCAAGTCGGCGTGCTACCCCTGCAGGACCACGCCGCCCGTGCAGGCCCTCGCCGCCCCCACGCAGCCTCTGCAGGCCCGTCAGGCCAGCGTGCGACCCCGTCAGGCCGCAGTCGCGGCCCCGCCTGGGCGCGGTCGCGGCCCCGCCCTCCCGCCGACGTGGACGCGGCCCCGCCCTGCCGTCACGCGGCCCCACCAGCCCTGCACCTGACGCGGCCGCGCCCTACTGCTGACGCGGCCACGCCCAGCTGCTGACGCGTCGTCGCCCCTCTGTCCGCCGCGTCGCCCTGCCCGCGGCGTCGCCCCTGCTCGCGTCGTCGCCCCCTGCCCGCCGCGTCTCCCCTGCCTACGGCGTCGCCCTACTCGCGGCGTCGCCCTGGCCGCGGCGTCGCCCTGGCCGCGGCGTCGCCCTGGCCGCGGCGTCGCCCTGCCCGCCGCGTCGCCCCTGCCCGCGGCGCCGCCCTGGCCGCGGCGTCGCCCTGCTCGCCGCGTCGCCCTGCCAGCCGCGTCGCCCCTGCCCGTGGCGTCGCCCCTGCCCGCCGCATCGCCCTGCCCTACCCCGCGCATGGCCCCTGGAGCAGTCGCCCTTGGAGCAACCGCCCCTGCAGCAGCCGCCCCTAGCCCCTGGAGCAGCCGCCACTGCAGCAGCCGCCCCTGGCCCCTGGAGCATCTGCACCAGCAGCCGCCCCTGGCCCTTGGAGTGGCCGCCCTTGCAGCAGACGCCTCTGGCCACTGCAGCAGCCACCAATGCAGGAGCCGCCCTTGGCCCCTGGAGCAGCCACCCCTGGAGCAGCCGCCCCAAGAGCAGCCGCCCCTGCACCAACGACCATCTCGGAGCTTCCTGCCGCAGTCGCGGCCGTGCCTTGCCGCTGTAGCGGCCCCGCAGTCGCCTCCGTCGTGCGCCTGCCCTTCCCACCACTGGTGAGCACTGCCCTGCCTGTGCTGCTATTGCTATTATTGCTGCTGCTACTGTTGCTCCTGCTGCTTTTGCTTCTACTGCTGCTCCTGGCGTGGCCAGATGCAGCTCCAGGGCCGTCCGCGTGTGTCCCTCACGCCCTAGCAGCTTCGCGAGTGGTACGCCAGTTGGGATTGTCAGGGTGGCAGTAGTGGGAGTCATCCTGGAGTGGGTACTTCGAGAGCTTCTTGTAGTGGCCCTGTGCAGCAGCAGCGTCGTCCGCGCGAGACTCTTTCGCCCCAGGAGCTTCGTGAGTGGTACACTCAAAGTAGAGGGTCGCTGAGTACTGCTCGCTGCCCGTACGTTATTAGCAAGGGTATCCGGACTAGTCAGCCTTGCGGGACGCGTGGTCACACGGAGTCTCGCTGATTCGCCCGACTGAGCGACGCTTGGCGTACAGAGTTTGGCGATGACGCTGAGCTCCCCAACTGGGTGGAGCTGCTTAAGGCAGAGGGTACATATCTTTGCTTTTGACTATGATATTATTCTCACTGCAATGTATGCATTGTCTACTAGTCCCGAGGGAGCCTGTCACCTGTGTGTGCCGCCTGACCCCGGTATCCAGTCTGCTGCTCCAGGTGCCACTGAGGCTGCCGCTCTAGGTGCTAACGCGTCTGCTGCCCCAGGTCCTGGTGAGGCTGCTGCTCTAGGTGCAGATGTGTCTGCTACTTCAAGTGCTTGTGAGTCTGCGCCTTCAGGTACTGCGTCTACTAAGGCACTGCACACCTTCGCACTAGACTCAGGTGATTCCCGCTGTTTCTTTCACGACTGCACTGCCCTCGAGCAGCTCCCTAGGCCGGTTGCTGTCTCCCTGGCTGACCCCTCTGGGGGTCCGGTCCTTGCGACCTCCACCACTTCCCTCCCTTGTCCTGCTGTCCCGTCTGGCACACTATCGGGCCTTTACCTCCCCTCGTTCTCTATGAACTTGGTGGCGGGCTCCGCGCTCCAAGACGTGGGTGTTTACCAGTTCACCCCTGCCTACGAGCGTGTGACACAATGCACGTGTGCCCATACGGGTCGTCACCTGGCTACCTTCACTCGGCAGCCGGGGTCGGACTTGTACACACTAACCACTGATTCCCCTCAGGTAGCGGCGTGTGCGTTTGCGTCAGATCAGTTGTCCGCCTCCTGTTCGTGTCGCACCCTGTCGCACCGGACGGTCCTCTGGCACCACCGCCTTGGTCACCCTTCGATGCAGTGCCTTTGTGGCATGCACTCTCGCTTCCTTGTCTCTGGTCTCCCCAGGTCACTGCCTCCCGTGCCACCGTCCCCTGCCCCTCCCTGCCTTCCCTGTGTCGAGGGGCGGCATCGTGCCACCCCTCACTCCTCTGAGCTCCCCCCGACAGAGGCTCCTCTGCAGGCCCTTCACATGGACGTGTGGGGCCAAGCCCACGTCCGTGGACAGGGCGGAGAGCGCTACTTCCTGTTGGTAGTTGACCACTACACGCGTCACACCATGGCCTTCCCCTTACGCACCAAGGGAGAGGTTCCTGCTGTCTTGATCCCTTGGATTTGCGCTACTTGTCTCCAGCCGGAGAGGCGCTTTCGCACGAACCTTCCCGTCCTGCGACTGCACTCTGACAGAGGTGGTGAGTTTTCCTCCGGCCTCTTGGAGGCCTTCTGTCAGGGGAAGGGCATTGAGCAGACGTTCACGCTTCCGGCCTCTCCTCAGCAGAATGGGGTTGCCGAGCGCTGCATTGGCTTGGTCATGGAGGTCGCTCGTACCTTCTTGATCCATGCAGCTGCCCCCCATTTTCTTTGGCCGTTTGCGGTTCGGTACGCTGCGCATCAGCTCAACCTCTGGCCCCGTGTCTCCGTTCCAGAGACCTCGCCGACACAGTGTTGGACGGGAGCGGTTGGCGATGCATCTGTGTTCCATGTCTGGGGATCTCGTGCCTTTGTCTGCGATACGTCCGCGGACAAGCTCTCCTCCCGCGCTGTTCCTTGTGTCTTCCTGGGCTTTGTCCCTGACGCGCCGTGCTGGCAGTTTTACCACCCCACCTCGCACCGTGTCCTGCCCTCTCAGGACATCACGTTTGATGAGTCGGTCCCCTTTTACCATCTCCTCCCCTACCACACTACCTCGCTCCCCCCTCCGCCGCTCTTCCTCACGCCAGGTGCTGCTTCGGTAGACCCCTTGCCTCCCCAGGGTCCTGCTCCCTCAGGTGTTTCCGAGGTAGACCCGGTCGAGCCTGTCGAGGTAGCTGACGACTCTGGCCCTGCGCGAGGTACTGAGCGTGCTGAGCCTGAGCGTGCTGAGCCTGGTGGTGTTTGGTCTGGGGGTACTGAGACTGGGGGTGCTGAGCCTGGGGGTGCGGAGACTGGGGGTGTTGAGCCTGGGGGTGCGGAGACTGCGGGTGCTGAGCCTGGGGGTGCTGAGACTGGGGGTGCTGTCCCTGGGGGTGCTGAGTCAGGAGGTTCTGAGCCTGGGGGTGTTGCGCCTGGGGACGTTCTCTCTTCCTAGCAGCTACGTGAGTGGTACTCTCGGTACTGTCGCCGGTGCTGTGGTGCTGTGGGAGCTGGAGGTGCTACAGGAGCTAGAGCTGAGGGCGTTGAGCCTACTAGAGTTGGTGTTATTGCTGACCCTGGGTTTGCTACTAGAGCTGGTCCTGCTGGAGGTGCTGCTGGTGCTGCTGGAGGTACTGGAGCTGCTGGAGCTGCTGCTGGTGCTACTGGTACTGGGGCTGGTGGTGTGGCTGGTGCTGGTGCTGATGGAGGTACTGGAGTTGCTGGCGGAGCTGCTAGTGCTGGTCCTGCTGGAGGTGTTGCTGGTGCTACTGGAGGTGCTGGAGTTGCTGGTGGTGCTGAGGGAGTTGGAGCTGCTGTTGGAGGTTCTGGTGCTGTGTCTGCTGGTTCTGGGGGCACTTCACGACCACGGCCGTACTTCGTTCCCCTCCTTCAGCAGGTCATCACCAATCAAGATCATGAAACTAGATGCTAATTTCACAAAAGGATGTCATATAGCTCTCTCACTATTGTATATCCCTCATTCTCTGCAGGCAAGGGATCAAGAGGAGGCGTTGCGAACATTCAAGCTGATGTCAGCGAGTGGGTTTGCACGTGACTTGGATCTCGAGTTCCGGAACAAGCTCATCCATGCCATGGCTGCCGTGCCCTCCGCTCGTGCCTACATGGCCTATGGGGTGAGTGAGGGAAAAGGAGGTGAGTGGGTGGAGGAAAAGGGAGGTGGATCGGGGAGCGGAGTTAACGACATGTTTATACTTCTTTGAGCGTTAAACATACAAGAATTTTTATTTCTGCGTGCCGCCAATGGATCTCGGTGTTTATTTTCTTCTCGCGGCAATCGATCAGATGTAAGCACAGGGCCCAGGCAGCTTGCAAGACATTCACTTCCATCCCCTTTCGTCTGTGGCATGGCATGGCAGTGCTATGATGACATGCAGAGGTGGGGACCAACGCCAAACAAGGCAACCTACTATGGGCTCATGGCAGTGTGTGCCAGGGATGGCGATGCAGCACGGGCGATGGCACTGAGGAGGGAAATGGAGCATGAGGGCCTGGAGGTGACAACAGCTGTGTATTGCACGCTGATCAGCGAACAGTGCAAGGCAGGAGAGTGGGAGGCACCTGTGAAGGCTTTCAGAGAGATGCGGGCCAAGGCGAGGGGAGGGATAGAGGTAAGCCTTTCAGGCCATAGCAGCAGTGTATGGTGCGCTGATGAGTTCACAGGGCAAGGGGGGGAAGTGAGAGGCGGCCGTGGAGACGTTCAAAGAGATGCAAGTTGAGTCTAGGGGCGAGATGGAGGTAAGCCTTGTCTAATTTGAGTCGCAAGGGTCGCCGAGGAGGGAGGTGGAGAACGACGGAGTGGCTGTGTGCAGTCCGGATTTGGGGTATTGTGAAGCGGCTGTGGAGAGGAGACGTTCCGAGAGATGTAGGCAAAGGTTGAGGGAGAAAATGAGGTAAGCCTTTATCTTTTGAGTTGACTCGAGAGGCACAGAAGAGGGAGATGGAGGGTGGAGCTGTGGTGGTGTTACATGCTCTCATCACTACGCACTGATGAGGGCATGTAACATGGCAGGGAAAGGAAATGGGAGGTGGCGGTGGAGAATTTCTGATAGGTGCAAGCCAAAGCGAGGGGCGAGATGAAGGTAAGCCTTTACCTAGCATGCTTGAAAGGGCGGTTGCACGGTGGATGGGTGCTTTTTGACCAGGCTAGGAGGAGCCAAGGTTGCCATTTCCTAGCCTGACTGAATTCTCAAGAGTCTAAGCTAAGGACGCGTCAACTTTTGCAAAAAACGGCGATCGATCGTGCAATATCGATCCTCAACCGCACTCAAATCCTGCATTTGCAACCAAAGTGCAAACAAACCTCTTCCAACCTAGTAAAAAATCGATCATGCACAGGACCGATCACCAAGTTTTGTGGGAGTTGACGCGTCCTAAGACCATGCACTCTCTGCGTTCTCTGAGTCATGCTGCTCTTTCTTTCCCTGCCATTCAACACTTGCACGTTGCTTGTTGACCCCTAAATCAGCTCCAAAACCACTTCTGCGTTCCTCTCCCCCTATTCCACCCTCACCTTTCCACCCCAAACCTTCCACACAATCTCTTCCTCCTAGCAGCGCCTGCTCCATCCATCACGAGACACCTATACTCTGCTCTTTGACGCCTGCTTCGACCCCGAGGGACGGCAGTTGTAAGGAACGGGTGTTTGCGGTGCCTAAAAAAGCACCATTCAGTCACCCGCCCTTGCCCTCGCTTGCTCTCTCTCCAATCTCGCCCTCCCACCAGCCCACCCTCCACCCATCACCAAACACCCACACTCTGCTCTTTGACGCCTGCTTCGGCCCCGAGGGAGCTGATGCAGAAATAGGAGATATAGTGAAGCAGGGCCGAAGGCTGAAACTCACTCCGGTTTAGACGGAACGGAGAAACGAGGTTGGATTCTGCAACTTTCTGACTAGAAAGATTTGTCAAATTGGAATGTTATTTCTTGGTGGCTTAAAAACGCGAAATCATTCATCACACACTCGAACGTGCTTTGTCGGTGTTCCTATCCATTTCCTCATGCTATCACACGTAACCTTCTCTTCTCTATACTACTTCCCAATTAACTCTGTGCTCTCTCTCTTTCCTCCTCTGTCCATCAGCGCTACAAGCAGCAGTGTCAATCTTCAGAGAGGCTGCAGCTGGGGGCACCTTCCTTCCCGCCTTGACCGCAGACCCCTTCACGTAAGAACAGTGCGAGCTTGTTCTGATCCCTACGTATGGAACATGCCCGTTCACAATCCCGACACCCATAGTCTTGTTGCAATCGTTGTAGCCTATGGGTGTCATGATCCCTCTACCATTAGAAATTCAAAAAGCTTGAATGTGGGTTTCAGAATCTTAAGGCCTAATACTCGTAAACCTGTGGGCCTTAGAATCTTGAAATGCCTTCTCTTATGACCCTTCTTTGCGAGTACTCTTGTAACAAGCTGAGACTCCTCCCATTCCCTCCTTTGTTAGGTGTTATATGGCAAATGTCAGCTGTGTTCTCGCATGTCCCTCAAAAGTACTCCTTTTCCCCCCCTTCCCTTAGGCATTAAATGAAGAGCTGCATATTCCTAGGCACCTCAAAGGTACATCCATGCCTTTAAATCCTCTCCTTTTGCAGGTGTTACGTGGTGGGCTGCACGCCCCGTGTCGCGGCTGTTGCAATCCTCTCGCTGCTTCTGTGCCTTGCCTCGTCCTCCATTTTCGGCCGTGATGCCGCGCCACTGCGCAACCTCCTCATTGTCACAAAACTGCAAGCAACTGTTGATGCTCTACCACATGAACCATGCCCAGGCCTCCAAGGGACGATGGAGACAATGCTACAAGTGCTAGGGCTGAAGGGAGAGAGGCTGCATGGCACGAGCGTGCTGCAGGGGCTGTGTGTTGACAAGGAGGACCTGCGCCTCTGGCTTAAGACGCAAGCTGCACTCGTTTTCGGGAAGTGATATACCCAATCCCATCGCAACAGTAAAATGAGGCAGGGAGAAGATAAACTGTTCAGCTCGCGGAGTTTTGTTTCGTGCGGCTGCATTTTCGTGGGCCCCCAATTCCCGCGTCGCTCATCTGGGCCTTTTCCCCCAAAGGTTCCGCTTGTGCCTGGACCCCCGACTTGGAGTCAACGATGGTTGACTCCGAGTTGACCACCCCGAACTAGAAACCCTAACTGAGAATTTCGACCCCCCCCTCCATCCCTTGGTGGATCCTCTGTGCTGCCGAACATCGCCCTGGTGAACCCGGTTCAGAGTGCCGGGGAGTGCCGGGGATTGCCGGGGAGTGCCGGGGCGTGCCGGGCTCGACCCCGGCAAAGATTTTAGCAACCATTCCAGGTGTGATGTTGGCCCTTTCCTGCCCTGTGTCCAATCTAACTTGACTATATGGCGAATAATTAACTCGGAAAGCATTCGCGGCGTGACTTGATAAGCCGATAGTTGTCCATCCAATGTATAGACTGACCGTGCTCGGACCTTTCGCCAGCCTTGGCCGAGTTCGCCACGTGCGGCACAATTTGTTGACGAAAAAAAAAAAGCATCGGGCAGCCATGTGCTCCTTCGGCACTCCAGTGGTTGAGGGAGATGTGGCAATGGGGAAGTCAACGACAAATAGTAACACAGCTTCGAAGTCAGCCGCCAAAGGAAGCAGAGGGATGTCAACCCGAATGTCAAGCCGACGATGTCAACTTCACATGAACACGATCCATCGAGTCGTACGTAATCCCCTCCCTCAAGCTTCAATAGTTTGTACTCGGAGTACATACATCGTACGTGTACTGAGATCGCGAAGAAAACGAAAAATCAGACGCCCTTTTTTTCACTAGCAACTTGAAAGCTTCCTAGTCGCGGCTCTTCATCCTTCAGACATGGAATGAACGGTGTTGCTTTCCTACTACGTTTTCATCTGTGAGTGGGCATGCATTTGAACTCAAGCAATTTCTTCAAGTATATCGCCCCGTATGTCTCAAGTCGGACATGTTTTGGTCACCAAACCTGTGTGATTGAGCGTCGGGTGTAATGATCTCCATGGGTGCGGCGGCGTCTGCAGCGTTGCTCCAATCGTCCTCCCCGCCGTCTCTAGCGCCCCTACGGGTCTCACTTCGAAGCCTCAAGCCTGTGGTGAAAGGAAAGGTTTTTGGTGAGTGTTTCCGAAGCACTTGTAGTAATAGTACGAGTCCAGCCCGAAACATGAAGCCAGTGTTCACTTGTATTAGTACGAGTCCAGCCCGAAACATGAAGCCAGTGTTCACTTGCAATAGTACGAGTCCAGCCCAAAACATGAAGCCATTGTTTACTTGTATTAGTACAAGTCTAGCCCGAAACATGAAGCCAGTGTTCACTTGTATTAGTACGAGTCCAGCTCGAAACATGAAGCCACTGTTCACTTGTATTAGTTTGAGTCCAGCCCGAAACATGAAGCCAGTGTTCACTTGTATTAGTTCGAGTCCAGCCCGAAACATGAAGCCAGTGTTCACTTGTATTAGTTCGAGTCCAGCCCGAAACATGAAGCTAGTGTTCACTTGTATTAGTTCGAGTCCAGCCCGAAACATGAAGCCAGTGTTCACCTGTAGAAATCCGGCTGTACGAATCTTAGTACTTGTCCCATACCATCATGTCTAACCTCCCCGAGCTTGACTAAGAGGCCTACAGATTGTGCCCTCTGAAGGGCCACCGACCATCTCTGTCTGAACTGGTGCAGAAACTTCGCGGCATGAAAGGATTTTGAGTCGGCGTTGAAGTGGCGCCGAGCCGCCGTGTCTGCTAAGAGCTTCAGAAAAACAGGTACCTCGGCACAAGGGCAGCCGTAGGTTTCCACAGCCAGCGGGAAGAAGCTAACCGTATCTGGGCGGTTAGCGTAGTGCTGTATCTTTTTGTCGGCTTGCTCCCTTGCCGCCCACCCCCTGCCTTTCTGTGCTTCAGGGTCCCTTATGCTGATAGGGTCCGTGATGGTCACATCACAGACGTAGACTGCCCCGCTACTACGGTCTGTCATGGTGAAGTCAGCGGTTTGCTCTTCAATGGGACAGTGGGCGGCTGATTCCCTGTGTACGATAAACCCCGCGTCCTGCGCCATGCTGACGCATGCGTTACGCAGTTCGTAGTGGGTATTGATGCGGTGCCTACCCGTGCCGCAGCGAAAGAGGTGATTTGGGAGGCGGGGGTTGGTGATAGGTGTGTGGTCAGAGCAGTCGCATTTCTTTGGCGTTGAGAAAGGGAGCCCGAGCCGAAAGCGAACGGAGTTGGCGAAATGTACCGGGCCTATTCGTCGGTTTGGGGCAGTCGGAATCGCGGTTAGCCAGTCGCCGGTGCCATACCCCGTCAGTGAGAACAAACGCTGCGTGTGGCCTGAAAGTGGGTTCGGTTTCATGCGCCTCGTGGCCTGCACCTGCACGGCGTATCTGCTGCCATGCACCTTCAAACCGAGTACGTGTTGGAGTCGAGTGTCCAACCGCTTTAGTCGCTCCTATTCTAAAATTTCACGCACGTCCTTTGGCAATGCGGCTTCGCATTCGATAAACCATGTGTGTAGTGGTGTGGTGACGTCCCGTGGTGAGAGCATGTGATTCCTAGCCCGGATCAGGGCACCAAATGGTTCTAGCGCGAGGGTGGAGAGAAAAAGCGCCGCCTGGGTGAAACTCGCCGTGTACCCATATACACCTTCGACTAACGGGTCTGTGAGGCCGATGCCTCCTAGTGATGGTGGCAGTGACGCCTGTGCCCATACTCGGGCCTGCTCGGTTTCGCACGTGGGGACGCGGATATCGCATGATACTAGGAGTGCGATGAGTAGGTCCCGTCCCCACTGGCTCCAAATATCGCGAGGGAGTAGGTTGAGAGGTGTCGTACGGGCGAGATAAGCCACCCGCCTGGAGATGCAACGGGTGAGTAGCAGGGCAGCTACATGAGGGTCGGCTCGTTCAAGGAGGTGTAATGGCTTCGCCATTTCTTCTGGCTGGCTTGACAGGAATTTGGCTGCTCCTAAATCCGGCCCTAGATAGCTTCCAAGAAGCCGTACGCCTTCCCTCGAATACGGCACTCCGTGTGGAAGCTGCGCTGGCTCGACCGTCGACGCACTCCAGGCTGCACACTTATTTGGGTTATGTGCCAGGCCGATGTGGGCCAACTTGTCGGTAAAGAACGTGAAGGCCGCTACAGTTCGTTGTATCTCCCCCAGAAAGGTGACGTCATCGGCATACGCCAGGCAGAGAACGTCTGGAAATGACTCGGCCGTTTTGCGGAGTATGGGGTGTATCCCTGCTGCAAATAGTAACGGGCCGAGTGGGTCGCCCTGGTGAACGCCGCGTTTGCTCTTCAGTGGTTCGCTGCTGAAATTGGCGTCAAGATTTAGCAACGACGGGTTACCATAGGTCAGGCGAACTATCGGCAGCAGTGGCCGTAGGCCGGGCTCTTGTAATGTTGCTGCGATGGCTTGGCGTGAGATACTGTTGAAGGCATTCAATATGTCCGCTTGCAATACCAGGCTGTTGGGACGGGCATAAAAAAACGCCCTGGCTGCGTGGATTACCGCCTCTGCTCCTCCTGGCACTGCCACTTCGTATTGAAGGGGTAAAAAATGTTCACGGGCAGCTTCCCCTATGGTTGCAAGGGCTGCTTTGGCTGCCAGCCTAGTCAGACATTCTCCTATCGCGATTGGCCGCGCGCCACCTCCAGGTTTGGCCAGGGCAATGAGACGTGATGCTGTTAACAGGTTTGCCACTGAGCCTGGTAAATTTCCCCCCAGAATTGTATTTACCAGGGCGTGGAGATGGGTGGAGATCGCTGCATTTGTAACTGCCGCGTCGCACAGATGTTCAAAGGTCGTGCCTGACGGGCCGCCCCCCACTCCGTTGTCACACCTTCCCAAAAGTTTGGCAAAGTCGGCGTGATTGATGGACAACGTTGACCCCCCTGTCGTTGGCCAAGTCAACCCCGCGTGTGAAGCAGGTGGGTGTTTTTGGCGGAGGTCGTCCAGGATTTCTGGGCTCGGTGTGCAGACAGGCATGGACTCGAGCGCCAGCACCGCTCGGCGCAGACTGCCACGTTTCGCCAGGCCTTCGGCTCGGCTTATGACCCCAGTTGGGTCGGGTTGGTGACGTGGCGGTGGAGGTGTGTTGACCGCCTCTACTGCGTCTAGATACAGCTGCTCCCATTCGCCACGCTGGAAGGCCCAGATCCGGGCTTTGACCTGCGGCTAGTTTGGTCGCTGTGGCGAAGTCTGGCGAAGTGTTAGGCGCGGGAGAAACAGGAGCAGGCGCCATCCCGTTTCGGACTCTGGGTTTCGCAAAAGGTGGAGCAGCGGTGTGAGTAACGCCAGCGAAAACAGCTGACATATATTTGGCGGTAGGCGCCGTGTCAGCGAAGGCTGTCGACTGTTGCTAAGAGCTTCGATGTCCCAGTGTTCAATGGCAGTGAACAAATCTTCCCGCTTTGCCAACTCGTCTGACAAAAAATAGCGGGGGATGGGTGTGGTCTGGCGCGTCGCGACCTCGGAATTGGCGGTTCGATTTTGCCGAGCATGGCGCGTCCTTGCTGGTGGAGCTGAAGTTGGAATAACCCCCATCCGATCAGCATCGGACGGTTCCGGATCAGCGTGTGGGTGTTGCAGGGCTGGGCTCCCAACATCCACTGTCCTTCTCCTCGCCGTCTCTCTCGTCCCGTCTTCCCCCTCCGACTCTCCTTCCTCGCTCTCACGTAGAGCTTCCTCCCTATAAGTAGGGTCCCGTAATTCTTCCTCCTCGTTAGCTTCTTCCAGAGCTGTTAAAGCCCTTCTTGCTGCTGCCTGGTACCCATTCTCCGGGCCTCCACCTGTACCACTAGCTGCCTGCCTCCTAGCCCCTGGGCCTCCTTGTACGAGCGATGGTGATTGCCGGAGCTGACGGGCCGTCGCCAGAGCGCGCTGCCGCCTGGTCGGCTGTGGTCGCCACGCCCCATTCGGGCCCCGAAAAGGTGACCACGGCGAAAAAGCCCCCTCTACCGCAGGCTCCGAAGCCCGTGTCAGCAGTCTCTGAAACGATTCTTCCCCTCGCACCCGCAGCTCCCCTTGCCGCTCCCGATTCTGGCCCGTCTGCCCCTGTTGCTGTTCCGTCCGGTCCGGCTGCTCTTCCTGCACCCCTTGCCGCCGCTGTAGAGCCATCTGTTCCTGCCCCTGGTCCCGATCCTGAACCGTCTGCGCTACCCGCAATGTCTCTCTCTCTCTCTCTCTCTCTCTCTCTCTCTCTCTCTCTCTCTCTCTCTCTCTCTCTCTCTCTCTCTCTTTCTCTCTCTCTCTCTCTTTCTCTCTCTCTCTCTCTCTCTCTCTCTCTTTCTTTCTCTCTCTCTCTCTCTCTCTCTCTCTCTCTCTCTCTCTCTCTCTCTCTCTCTCTCTGGCTCTCTCTCGCTGCATAATTCACCAGTGTGGGTGTGCCATGACAGTCGCATGCATAATTCTCCAGTGTGGGTGTGCCATGGAAGAATTACTGGCCATGACAAGTCCTGTTGATTGGTGTCCTCACTTCTTTTTCCCTTATCTGTTGGGCAAGACTCCAAAAAACGCTTTCTACTTTGTGAGTAAGTTACACATGGGCAACATCCGGTCGGGGGGGGGCTTCTCCTTGCGGGGATAACTGCTGCAACGGGAGCTAGACTACGGGCTAGGCACGTGTGCTAGTGTGATCTCTACGTTTGTTAACTTAGTCGTTTTCTTGTGTTCACACTGCTTGCTAGTTCACGGGGAGAATTGGCAAGAGTTTCACTAGGAAAATATGACAACAATGATGGCAACAACATTGGCATCACAGACTACATCAGTGCTAGCTAGGCTGCTGGTCGGCCTCCAGCGCAGCACGGTCGACCGCGCTCTAGCGCAGCAGCGCTCGCACCGCTCCAGCGTTGCAGAGTAGCGGTTCGCCAACGTTGCAAGTCCACGGTGTGCTAGTGCTGCAGCAAGTCGGCTGCACAGCGTTGCACTCGCAGGACAACGATGCATCTGCTTCACAGGTGCGCACAGCTGGTTGGTGCGTGCTTCCTTGTCATGTGCACAGCGCAGACGCCTGGCAGAATCCACGCCAGTGACTGTGCCCACCAGCCACGTCGACCTCGGGATACCACCCCCGAGGTCGGCCTCGCAGACTCCACCCTTGCGACACTCGCGCACGTCGCTCGGGTATTCCGGTCGACCGGGCAACCACGCATGGCCGACCAGCGCAGTCCGTAGTCGGCCACGGATGCCCGGCGTCCCCAGCCCGGCGTCCAGGCGCCCAGGACGCCTTCCGAATCCCCAGGTCGGCGCCCAGACGCCCAGGACGCCGAGCAAACCTCCAGAGCGGCGTCCCTCCTCCCAGGACGCCGACCAGATGCCTGGGTCGGTGTCTGGGCCCCCCGGGACGCCCAGGTCGGCGTCCGGACCCCCAGGACGCCGTGCAGGCGCCCACGACGTCGATCAGGCGCCCGAGTAATCGTGGCGACGCCAAGCTTGGCGTCCAGCTTCCCAGGACGCCGTCCAGGCGTCCGAGACGCCAACCAGGTGTCCAGGGCGGCGTCCTCCTGCTCGGCGCCCTACAGCCAGGCGCCCTCCACCTTGGCGCCCTTGCAGTGGCCCCCGTGCTTACTGCTGTAGGTCGGCTGCAGCCCCCGCACATCTGATCACAAGGTTGGCTCCGCCCAAGTGAGGACGGGGCCTTACAACGCTCCCGTTGACAATCCTCAGTTCGAAGTGCTACCTAATGGTCAAACGTGCCTTGGAGGCAATTATATGGCGGATCAAGTGGGACAATGGACAAACACCACAACTCAGCAGGTTGGTAAACTCAAGCGCTACAGCTTTGTGGCATCATCTTTTGAGCAGGGATCAAAGGTAGATGTGAAAATGTTGATTCGGACGTACGTTAATACCTATAAGGGTGGAAATATTGTTGTGTCTCATCCAAAGAACAACTATGCACTCTGAAGGCCGGCGAAGAAGTAGAAATGTTTAGTGCACTGTTTTGTATTAGGCAAGAGTTTATGGTTCATAATATTGAACACTGTACAAGTGCATGTATGGAAACACAAACACTCCCCTCTTGTGCCGCTTCTCGCATCCCTCCTGCCTTGTCGCCTTGTCAAGCAAGCCATGCAGAACAAAGAATGGGCAAACGAAGGGATTGGGTTGGGTTTTCTTCCTCCGTCTGCCGCCTCACCTTGAACAGATAGCTCTTCGCTATCACCTCCTCCACAAGAGAGAGGGAGAGAGGGGGAGAGAGGGAGGGAGGAAAAGGGAGGGGGAGAGAGGGAGAGGGAGGGAGGGAGGGAGGGAGAGCTGGCACGACCGGGTTTTGTGCCATGCAGTCTAAGTCGTATCGCGGGTCACGGGTTGCGTGGACGGAGAAGGAGCCCCGCGAGTGGTGGATGGTGGTTGCCAGTGTGTCATGTGCTTGCTGGTTCTTGCCTGTTGCCTCTAGCTGGTAGGTTGTGTGTGCTGCTGCTGCTGCTGGATTCAGCTGCAAGGTTCGGCGGGCATGAGCATGAGAAATGGCAATACGAGCAGTTTTTGTGCTGTTTCCTTCACTCGGTGTAGTTTTTGTGCCTTTTCCTTCAGTCGGTGCAGTTTTTGTGCTCCAAGGGACCGCGAAAGGCTCGACACGCATCGATGCTTGTGGGGCAATGGAGGCAATGCTGCGGGCTCTAGAGCTGAAGGTAGAGACGCTGCATGGAACGAGCGCGCTGCAGAGGCTGTGTGTTGACAGGGAGGAGCTGCGCCTCTAGCTCAACACACAGGCTGCTTCTATGTTCCTCATATGATGGTGTGAGCACGTGGTGGCATGGTGACATGGCGTGAGTGCGCTGCAGGGACTGTGTTTTGACAGGGAGAACATGTGCTTGCGGCTCAACACACAGGCTGCTCTCGTGTTCCTCACGTGACAGTATGGTGGCGTGGCAGCATCACGGCATGCTGGCATGACTGCATGGTGGTGTGGTGGTATGTTGGCATGACAGCATGGTGGTGTGGTGGTATGTTGTCATGACTGCATGGTGGTGTGTTGGCATGACTGCATGGTGGTGTGGTGATATGTTGGCATGACTGCATGGTGGTGTGGTGGTATGTTGGCATGACTGCATAGTGGTGTAGGGATATGTAGGCATAACCGCATGGTGGTATGGTGTCAAGAATGAAAGTGTTGGTTCATTGATGTGGGTTGGGGTACATATAACGAACCCTAACATCTGTACCCCCTAAAACAAACCTCACTACGGGCTACAGCATTTGACACACCCCTAAGTGAGGGGTGTCAAGCAAAACCAAAAGTGTACGGTCACAAGACCACTTACAAAGGGTCAGGGTGGATCACAACGTCACCACACACTCTGAGCACAAGCAACAAGGGCCACAAGGCGAGTTCAAGAGTTCACAAGTGTGTATAGCAAGAGTACAAGCAAAGCAAACAGTAGACTCAATCCTATACACGACTAGAAACTGTGTCAACAAGGCCTAACTGCACACAACACCTCTGGTGGTCACAAGGGGGAAGCGCCTTGGTGAAGATGTCTGCAGTGTTGGCCTCGGACTCCACAATCTCGAAGCGAGCCTGTCCACGTCTCTGCAACTCTTGCAAAAGAAAGTACCTGCCGTTAATGTGCTTCACTCTGCTCTCCAGTCGCGGCTCTCGACAAAGGAGAATCGACGCCTTGTCAGTGAACAAGGTCGGTGCAGAGCTCGGCCGCTCACCAAGGTCGGCGAGCAAGAAGGTCAACCAACGCAGCTCCTGTGCTGCCATGGCACCAGCGTAGATCTCAGCCTGAGCTGTAGAGGTCGAGACCAAAGAGGGGCGCGTGGATCGCCACGAAATAGCTCCAGAACCCAAGATGAAACAGTACCCCTGAGTAGACCTATGAGTCTCAGTGTCGTCAGCGTAAGAAGAGTCACAGTGACCAGTAAGTACGAGAAGCTGCTGCCCTCCAAGAACTAGCCCCACGCCTGATGTCATCGCTAGGTACTTCGCCACCCTCATAGCTGCCGTCTAGTGAACAGGACGGTGTCTCCCTAACGCAACAAAGCGAGCAAGGATGCTGAGAGGGAAGGCGAGGTCTGGGCGAGTGCAAGTCATCAGGTACATGAGGCAGCCCACCAGCTCTGCGTAGGGACCACTAGACTCAAACGGCTCGTCAGGAAAGGGTCCAGTAAGTCTGTGGTCAACAGCAAGAGGTGTGCACTGTACTGTGGAGTGCTGAAGCTCGAACCGCTGAAGAACCTGCTGCACCATGTGTGACTGTGAGAGTGTAATGGTGCGAGCAGCTCTGACCCTGGTGATCTAGAGGCCAAGGTAGTGGCGCAGCTCATTAAGGTCAATGCACGTGTATCTCTTTTGCAGTTCAGACTTCATGTATGCCAAGGCAACCCTGTAAGCAGTGGCGAACACCAGGTCATTGACATAGACCAGAACAAAGAACGCTGTGGAGCCACGGTGAACGAACAGCGATGGGCCAGCAGAAGACGGCTAAAACCCAAGGTCAGAGAGGGTAGAACGAAGAGTGTCGTGCCACTCACGAGGAGCCTGACGAAGAACGTCGACAGGTCGCCTCAGCCTCCACTGGGTCCCAGGAGGGAAATTGTCAGTGAAGGCAGAGGGACGACGCAGCCAGACCTCCTCGTGTAAGCTACCCTGAAGGAATGCAGTGGAGAAGTCGAGAGAGTGTAACTCGTAGTCTCTCCGTGCTGCTACGTGCAGTAACACCCGAAGAGTGGTCATCTTTGGGGTAGGCGTGAAGGTCTGAAAGAAGTCAACTCCCTCGCGCTTACTGAAACCTCTAGCCACATAGCGCGCCTTGAATACCGGAGGTGATCCCGGTGGCCGCTTCACCCTGTAGATCCACATGCCATCAACTACGTTCGCCCCGGGGGGGGGGGGGAACCTCGTCGACGTAGGTGCCTGTGGATCTGTAGGAGGCCATCTCTGCGTCCATGGCAGCTCTCCACTGAGAGGCCCAAGGCCCTGACACTGCCTCAGCGTAAGTGCGAAGAGTCGGTATGTCAAGGGCGTCGGGGTCTCCCTCGCGGGCGAGCAGCATGACACAGAGATGTGGGGAAGCGGCTGCCAGGAACTCTAGCTCAAACTACCTGTCCTCTAGGGCGTCACACCTAGGGGAAGACTCACCCCAGATGGCCAAAGGACTGGTAGGAGGAGCAGCCACAAGACCGACAGAAAGAGACAGGGACGAACGAGGCGGACTAGAACGAAAGAGGGCAGTACGAAGGTCAGTAACGAGAACAGGAGACGAAGGACGAGCACGAGGGGAGCAACGAGAGGCCCAAGTCGGAGGAGGAGGGGACAACGGAGGCTGAGAACAAGGGAGAACAGCCGGGGAGGGGTCAGGAGGAGGAAGCAGAGGACCCGAGACGGGAGAGGGGGAGGAGGAAGGAGAGCGTGAGGGGAGACCGAGGGCCCGAAGACCAGAGATAGGAGGAGGAGGCGGCGGTTGCTGCTGCTACGGCGGCGGCGGCGGCTGCTGTGCTGCTGCGGCGGCGGCTGTTGCTGCTCCTCCTGCTGCTGTAGCGGCTCCAGCTGCTGCGCCTCCTGCTGCTGCGGCGGCTCCAGCTGCTGCTGCTCCTCCAGCCGCTGCAACTCTCTCTCCTCTCTCTCCAACTCCAGCTGCTCCTCATGGGCACGACGAACACGAGCTTGGTGCTGGGTCGGGTAGGGGTGGGGTGGAGGGGTAGTGTCGGGGGCTGCGGCAGCCCCGGGACCGCCCTCCAAAGCACCTAGCGCACCACCCCCAGAGTCAGCACCACCAATAGCAACACGACCATGCTCACCAGGACCCAAAGACGTAGCACCCCCAGACGTAGCACCCCCAGACGTCTGAGGGTGCACCCGCACCCCCAGACGTAGCACCCCCGAAGTCAGAAGGGCCAACACCAGCTCCCGAAAGACAAGGGTCTCCTGCAACCACAGGCTCAGCTTCAACTCCAGCACCCCCAGAGCTAGCACCTATAGGGCCCTCTCCATGAGCACCGGCTCCCGCAAGGTCTGCAGCAGGCTGCGAGGAGGACTGCGGGGAAGGAGGCTGTACCTGAGGGGCTACCAAGGGGGGAGGGGTAGCCTGGGACACACCTGACGGGGCGGGACCAGGGGGGGGAGGCTGTACCGGGGGAGCAGGAGGGGGAGCGGAAGTCAAGAAGAGAGAGGGAGGAGGAACTGGGAGACCTCGACTGGGGTACCTAACGTAGTAGGGGGTGGACTCCTCGAAACGGTCGTCACGGGAGTCAAAGAACCGGTGAGAGGGAGGGTGGTAAAAGGTGAAGTCAGAGGAGTCCTCAAGGAAACCAAGGAAGACACAAGGAACGGCGCGAGGTGAGAGCTTGTCCGCGGAAGTGACGCGGACAAGAGCCAAGCAACCCCAGACACGAAACCTCGACGCAACACCAGGGGACCCGGTCCAAAGACTGGTCGGTGAAGCCTCTGGGTGAGAGACGCGTGGCCAGAGGTTCAGCTGGTGAGCGGCGTACCTAACCGCGTAGAGCCACAGAAAATGGGGGGCACGGGCGTGAGTCAAGGAGGTGCGGGCGATCTCCATGACCAAGCCTATGCGGTGCTCAACAACCCCATTCTGTTGTGGGGACTCTGGAAGCGTCCAGGACTGACGAATGCCCTGCTCACGACAAAATTCAGCGAGAATGCCGGAGCAAAACTCGCCCCCACGGTCAGAGTGAAGACAGCTGACACGACGACCACACGTGCCCTCAGTGGTAAGCAACCACCTGATCAGCGTAGACGTCACCTCAGACTTCTTCGCCAGGGGGAACACTGTGGTGTAGCGGGAGTAGTAGTCAACGACCACAAAAAAGAAACGCTCGCGCTCAGGGCCAAGGCGAGGGGCGGGGCCCCAGTCGTCCAAGTGGAGCGTCTCAAAAGGCTCGGTGGCCGGACGAAGGGAGGAGGAGTAAGGGGTGGCGCACAGCCGACCCTCGAGGCATGGACCACACAGCGGTGCAAGCGAAGGCGGCAGCGACGGCAAGACACGCGAGAGGCCTAAGACAAGATGCTAACGAGACATAGCGCGCAGACGAGGGAGGGATGGTTGTCCCGTCCGGTGGTGCCACAAAATGGTGGGGTGTGCAAGCGACCGGCAGAAGCATGACGCAGCAACTAGACCAGACACGGGAACCTGGCCAGACACAGCTACCTGGGGGGACGCAGCAACCTGGTGAGACGCAGAGACCAGACTGGGGGAAGTAACCAATGTCGGGGGCAGGAGTCGCTGTTGCTGCCGCTGCCGCTGCTGCTGCTGCTGCTGCTGCTGCTGCCCACCAGGGCCAGTGTAAAGTGTGTAGAGACCAGAGCTTGGCTTGGCAGTAAAGGTGGCAAGAGGCGAGTAAGTGTCGACGTCAACACAAACCGCCGTCTCACCTGAGGGCTCAATCCACACACCCACGTGCTGACTCACAAGAGGCCTCACGCCCACCAAGTTCCTCAAGAACAAGGGGACGTGAAAGCCAGTCAGAGACCTAGAAGGAATAGCCGGTTAAGGAAGAGTAGTAGTGTAGCGAGCAGTGACTGGTCCCGAGGTGGGATCAGTTAGGGCCACAGAGACTAGCGCAGGAAGTGGAGTAAGTGTCATGTGGTCGCGGAAGAAGTAGTGCGAAGCCCCAGAGTCCAGAGTGAAAGACAGCGAAGCGTCCCCCAAAGTAGCGCCTGGACCAGATTCTACACAAGTGCCTACACTAGCAAAAGGCAACTCAGCAAGACTAGCACCTAAGCTAACAACACATGAGTAAACAGCGTCAGAAGCACTAGAGTCAACAAAAGCATACATAGCATGAGGAGTTCCTAAGAGATCAAGCAACTAAGAAGCAGACATGCCCCAAAGAGCGGAGCCGTACGTCTGAATAAGAGGTAACTAGTCAAGGGCAGGGCCGCCAACGCCGAAGGCTTAGCGAACCGTGTCAGTGAGCTGAGCAAAGCACTGACCAGGAGGGTGGGTGCGACCACAAGGCTGGCCTCGACAAGCACCTGTCAGAACCGGATAGGTGCACAAAGGGTGAATAACACCTCGCTAGGGCGGACGCTGTCCCAGCCCCGAAACCTGCTGTTGCCACTATTGCTGCGGGGGCTGCTGCAAGGGGAGGGGCTGTTGCTGCTGCACGTGCTGCTGCCGCTGGGCCAAAGAGGAGGGAAGTGCTGCTGGAAGGCCTTAGCGTCCGCGTGGGTCCCTCTGGGCGCACGCTACTGGCGACCTTCCTGCGCCCGACGACCCTATGCCTTTAGGCCTTGCCCCTGACGACGCCGCCAGAGACCGCTTTACCGGCGAGCATGCTGACCTGACGGCGTGGAAGTCGCGTGACGCTGCGGCCTGCATCGCTCTTAGCAGCCTCCTCCCTGAGTCTGAGGAGGCCCACTTCACTCAGGCTCGCACTGCTAGTGAGTTTCTGACTGCGATCAAGGCCCACTACACTACTCCCACCACTGTCTCCCTTGGCCACCTCTTCCTACCGTTTGAACGTGCAGCACGAGAGCGACCCAATAGGGCGCTATGGGACATAGGGTAGGGCGCTACGAGACACAGAGTAGGGCACAACACTACTGGACTAGGAGGGCGCGGCGCCATGGGCAGGGGTAGCGCGACGCGACGCAGCGGGACAGGACGGGCAGCGCGACACGACGCAACGCGACGGGACGGGCGGACTGCGTGACACGGACGGGCAGCGCGACGCGACACGAAGGGACGGGACGGACAAGCAACGCAACGCGGACGGACGGGATGGGACGGATGGGACAGGACGGACGGGACGGGACGGGACGGACGGACGGGACGGACGGCGCGACGCGGATAGGCAGCGCAACGCGAACGGACGAGATGGGATTGAAGGCGCGACGCGGACTGGCAGCGTGACGCGGACGGACAGGGTGGGACGGACGGCACGAGCGGACAGACAACGCAACGGGCGCTAGGGCACGAGAGCAACGTAACGTCAGGCACAGCGGGCGCTAGCGCACGAGAGCGACGTAACGGCAGGCGCAGCGGGCGCTAGGGCACGAGAGCAACGTAACGGCAGGCGCAGCGGGCGCTAGGGCACGAGAGCGACGTAACGGCAGGCACAGCGGGCACGAGAGCGACGTAATGGTGGGTGCAGCGGGCGCAAGGGCACGAGAGCAATGTAACGGCAGGCGCAGCAGGCGTGAGGGCACGAGAGCAACATAACGGCAGGCGCGATAGGAGCTAGGGGACCGTACGAGCGTAACCCCTAAGACAAACCTAACTACGGGCTACAGCATTTGACAAACCTAACACGATCATGGCGCATTCGGCATCCGGATGGAGGCAGGCGCAAGAGTATGGCGACCTTTGCGAGAGATTCTCTCTACGGTGCAGCAGACCAGCGGAGCAGGGACAGAATGGCGGAGCATCGGAGGAGCGACAGAGTGGCGGAGCATCGGATTAATGGCAGAGTGGTGGAGCATCGGAGCAGCGACAGAGTGGCGGAGCATCGGAGCAACGGCAGAGTGGTGGAGCATCGGAGCAACAGCTGAGTGGCGGAGCATCGGAGCAATGGCAGAGTAGCGGAGCATTGGAGCAACGGCAGAGTGGCAGAGCAGTGGAGCAATAGCTGCTGGTGCATCACCGAGAGCGCCAAGGCATGGATCGTGCGGAGTCTGATAGATGAAAATGCCACAAACTCGTTTCTGTGGCCCATCTTCCTCAGTCCGGACCCGCTCTAGTACCCTCGCTTTGTCAATGCAAAGAAGCCCTGAATGATGCTACCCTGACACCGCAAATAGGCTCCCTCCCCCTTGCTGCATCTAATCTTGTCCACTGAATCAGTCATACTCTTACGGTACGTCTGTCTGCTTTCAGCTAATCAGACATTACCGCGCGGCGCGTGTTCAGTAGCACCATGTGCATCACTGCGGCTTGCCCCAACCCCATCTCCCCCGACGTCTGGTGGTGCGATGACGCGTGCTGGCGCCGCTACCCGCCTCATCTTGAAGTTGCTATCCGCCATGCGCTCTCCTCCTCCGGCCTTACCGCGATGACTAGTACTCTCTCCTTTGACCTGGGGACTTTTGCGTCGCCCGCGCACCCAAACGGCGCGCGCTACACCTTGGATCTGCGTGCAATGAAGCAGAGGAATGCGGAGAGCGAGTACGCGCGGGAGATCAGAGTGGTGGAGTGTGGTGGCGGTAGTCGCCACTCGCACCCTTGGGTATTACGCGATTAGCTGTAAGATCCTAGGCGCCTCAGAAGTACATCTGTGGCCCATCAATCCTCCCCTTGCAGGTGTTACGTGGTCGACTGCACCCCCCCTGTCGCGGCTGTTGCACTCCTCTCGCTGCTTCTGCGCATTGCCTCTTCCTCCATTACCGACCCTGATGCCATGTCACTGTGCAACCTGCTCATTGTCACGGCAACGCTGCACGCAACACACGGGTTCCACCAAAGGAGGAGCCGACCACAAAGCTGCAAGGGACGATGGTGGCAATGCTAAAGGCACTGGGGCTGAAGGGAGAGACGCTGCATGGCATGAGCGCGCTGCAGGGGCTGTGTGTTGACAAGGAGGACCTGCGCCTGTGGCTCAAGTCACAAGTTGCTTCCGTGTTCCTGGCATGATGGTGTGAGCGCGTGGTGTTCCTGGCATGATGGTGTGAGCGCGTGGTGTTCTTGGCATGATGGTGTGAGCGCGTGGTGTTCCTAGCATGATGGTGTGAGCGCGTGGTGTTCCTGGCATGATGGTGTGAGCACGTGGTGTTCTTGGCATGATGGTGTGAGCGTGTGGTGTTCCTAGCATGATGGTGTGAGCGCGTGGTATTCCTGGCATGTTGGTGTGAGCACATGGTGTTCCTGGCATGATGGTGTGAGCGCGTGGTGTTCCTAGCATGATGGTGCGAGCGCGTGGTGTTCCTGGCATGATGGTGTGAGCGTGTGGTGTTCTTGGCATGATGGTGCGAGCGCGTGGTGTTCCTGGCATGATGGTGTGAGCGCGTGGTGTTCTTGGCATGATGGTGTGAGCGCGTGGTGTTCCTAGCATGATGGTGTGAGCGCGTGGTGTTCCTGGCATGATGGTGTGAGCACGTGGTGTTCCTGGCATGATGGTGTGAGCGCGTGGTGTTCCTAGCATGATGGTGTGAGCGCGTGGTATTCCTGGCATGTTGGTGTGAGCACGTGGTGTTCCTGGCATGATGGTGTGAGCGCGTGGTGTTCCTAGCATGATGGTGCGAGCGCGTGGTGTTCGTGGCATGATGGTGTGAGCGTGTGGTGTTCCTGGCATGATGGTGTGAGCGCGTGGTGTTCCTGGCATGATGGTGTGAGCGCGTGGTGTTCTTGGCATGATGGTGTGAGCGCGTGGTGTTCTTGGCATGATGGTGTGAGCGCGTGGTGTTCCTGGCATGATGGTGTGAGCGCGTGGTGTTCCTGGCATGACAATATCGTGGCATGGCAGCATTGCGGCATTCTGGCATGACCGCATGGTGTTGTGGCGGCATGTTTGTCAGAATGAACAAGAGTGATTGAACTAGGAAAGAGTTGGGTACAAGTAGGAAACCCTAAACTTAATGTATCCCATAGTAACTACCCCACTGCAGCCTAAACAAACTGTAGTAGATATGACATTTGACACATCCCCATAGGCAAAGTGGGGGAGAGCAAGGGGTCACAAGACCAGTCAAGAAGGGCAAAGCAAGCTTAGGGTGGATCACAAAGTCACCACACTCACTTAGCACAAGCAAAGGGCCACAAGGCGAGTTCACATGCAGAGGCATATATGCAACACAAACATCACAGTGATCTCTACCTAGCAAAGCAAGCATGCAGGTATATATGTATGTAGATCACAATACAAGCAAAGCCTACAGCAAGTGAGGAAAAGTGGGCACAAGCCCTAGCATGGTGCAAAAACGCTGATGATCACCAGACTGAAGTGCCTTGGTGAATATATCAGCAGTGTTGGCCCGAGTGGCCACGTAACGCAGACGAAGCTGACCACGCTGCTGCAACTCTCGAGCTAGGAAGTACCGCAAAGCTATGTGCTTCTTTCTTTGCTCCAGTCTGTGCTCCTCACACAAGGCAATGAAGGAGGAGAACGAGGCGGCTCTCCCAAGTCGGCCAGCAGTTAGTGCTTAGCTGGCAAAAGGCTGGCTGGCGACAACACCTGAAGGCTGGCTGCAATGGCGAGGTTGAATGTCTCCGCGTTGGGACTGCCCTTCTCTATAGCTTCCATCACGAGCTCACGACGACCCCATGCCGTATCGTCCTGCAGTGAGAGACATGGTTCAAGTGGACATGGATTGAAAAGTTAAAAATAAAATAAAAAATGCATCAACAAGATGGCGTTACCAGAGCCACGGCGGGAGAACAGCGAATTTACTTCTAATAAAAGGGAATCACTATGCTTGGCACATTGGTCCATGGGCCTTACATCAGTGAACGACAAACCCTTGGCTTGCATCTCCTTGAGTGTCATCATCTTGCATCATCCACTGCCACTTCCCACGCCTGTGTGGCGCTGCATGGCCATGAGCGCACGGAGCACACAAAAGTCGTGCCCGCCTTACCTCCATGACGCCCTTGGCTTGCATCTCCTTGAGTGTCTCCACAGGTGCCTCCCACAGCCCTGCCTTGCGCTGCATGGCTAGGAGTGCACGGAGCACTTCCTCCGTAACCTCCACTCTGCCATCCTCCATGCCTTTCTTCGAAGCCATGGCCCGTGCTGCATCGCCTTTCTCAATGGCCTCCGTCAGGAGCTCCTTACCACATGCCCTTTGCTCCTGCAGTGAAAGATTCGGTTCACGTGGACAAGAGTTGAAATGCGGCTGTAAGGAATGAGAGCGGTCATATATAGAGAGAGATATCTATATATTTCTTTATACGTACACACATGAATGCCATGCTCACATACATCAGTCGAGACTACAGCCTTGGCCTACATCTCCTTCAGAGTCTCCGCAGCCACCTCCGACATCCTTGACTTGCGCTGCATGGCCATGAGTGCATGGAGCACCGCTGCTGTGACCTCCACTCAACCATCCTCCACACACACACACACATACACACACACAATACACACACACATACATACACACACATAGAGACACACACACACACATACACACACACATACACATATACATACACACACACATATAGACACACACACATACACACACACACACACATGAATGCCATGCTCACTTACATCAGACGAGATTACAGCCTTGGCCCGCATCTCCTTCAGAGTCTCCACAGCTGACTTCCACATGCCGATCTGGCGTTGCAAGGCCATGAGCGCACGGAGCACTTCCCCCATCACCTCCACTCTGCCATCCTCCATGCCTTTCTTCAGCTTCATCGCCTTTGCTGCATCGCCATCCCTGGCACACACTGCCATAAGCCCCTGGTACGTTTCTAGGTCCGGCTTGGGTCCCCACCTCTGCATGCCCTCATAGCACTGTCGGAACGCAAAGGATGAAACTTGAAACAATGATTCGTAACACATTAAATTAACTATGTTGAAAAGAGTGAAGGCAGATAGGAGACCAAGCAGGGTAGATAAGAAAAAAGGAGGACGGACAACAGATGGCCACCAATGCATTTCATATACATATGTATATGCATATAATATGTTTATGTGTATGTCTATGTGTATGTTTATGTGTATGTGTTTGTATATGTATATGTATTTGCATATGTATACGTGTATGTACATGTATGTGTACCAAGCACCCTTTTCTCACCCCGTACGCCACGTAGGCAGGGGCGGAGGGCACACCAACCACGGCGAGGATGAGCTTGTTTCAAAAAGGGGGATTCAAGTCGCGTGCCAACCCACTCGCTGACATCAGCTTGTTCGCTCGCAACGCCCCTGAGTGATCCCCTGCCTGGAGAAGCAACCGGAAAGGGTAACAGGTTGGGTAAGGCTATTGGGAGGGGGATACACAAACGACCGTTGATGGACTTGAAGAATTCATTGGAGCTTCAAAACCCTACCCAAAACGTTAAACGCACCGGCAGGCTGGTTTCGATCAGCAGGTTGAAGACCTCTGGGTCGACACAGCCACTCTCAGTAACCTCTGATAGGAGCTGGAGCATGGGAGGAGACGTATCTGCCTGCAATGGAATGGGAGGGATGATTTGGGTAGACAGCAACTTTGAGGCCATGAGAGACAAATTGACACTCTCAAATGAGGGAGGAAAAAAGGCATGGCACGCTGGGACGGTGTCCCGTCCTTGATTCGTCGCATCACCCACTGTTGGTCTCCCCCAGTCTCGACAATGTGAGAATGGTGGAGCGGAGCGATAGCAAAGAAATGGCTTTTTAGACGTCTCAATACTCAACCATGAAGCACACCAACACCAATCTGCCCCTCTTGAGCTTGCCTCACTTGGAGCGACGGCTGAGGAGGACGGTGCAATCGTAACATGGTTTTTCTAAAATCTAGTTTTCACCACAAGGTGCACCAGCACTGAGTCACCACCACTCTTGAGACATCTCAAAAATCAACCACAAAGTGCACCAGCATTGAGTCACCACTCTAAGGCTTACCTCGCTTGCAGCGTGAGCAGGGGAGGATGGTGCAATCACCATACTCGCAAATTGGGTGAGCTTGCTACAAAAACTGGATTTAAGTCATGTGCCAAGCCGTTTGCTGACATCAGCTTGTACGCTCGCACCGCCCCCTCGTGGTCCCCTGCCTACAGAGGGAGAAGGAGGGGACGTGTGTGTGTGTGTGTGTGTGTGTGTGTGTGTGTGTGTGTGTGTGCGCACGCATGCATGCATGCGTGCACGCGCGGGCGCGAGCACTCGTGCATGCGTATTTGTGTGTGTCCGTGTGAGGTTCAGGTTGAGGGAGGGGATGAGACGAGTGACTGGTGGAGTAACACGAACAATGGGAAGTTGGCAAAAGGGAGAGAGGGAGGTTGTATGCTGGAGCAAATACCTTTTGCCAGTGTTGCGAAATTGAAATTTCAAAAAAAAAAAATCTTGCAAAGGAAGCAACGTGGTGAATCAGAGATTGTGACACCTCACAATCTCTTCCTTTTGTTTTTCCAACAAACCTCTACGCTTGCTTCAATGAGAAGGTTGAGGGTCTTCGCATTGGGGTGAACTTTCTCAGTAGCTTCCTTCAAGAAATCACGACCCCATGCGGTGTCCTCCGACAGTGAAGAGCAAATTTCAAGTGAAAGAAAGTAACGAGCGAAAGAGATGTGAGCAAGGAGAATAGATTCATAACAAGACCCAGATAGCCCCGTCCAGCAACGATAGTCAAAATCACCCCCTGCAACTTCCCTCAGCGCAGAGAAGACGCAGCTACCTATTTACAAACAAGCACCATACGCCATACTCACACACATCAATCACAAGTATGCATCAATCAATGCTCACATCGGTCGAGAACACAGCCTTAGTTTGCATCTCTCTGAAGGTTTCCACAGCGGCCTCCCACAGCCCTGTGTGGCGCTGCATGGCCATGACCGCACGGAGCACTTCCCCCATCACCTCCACTCCGCCATCCTCCATCTCCCTCCTCAGTGCCATCGCCCGTGCTGCATCGCCATCCCTGGCACACACTGCCATGAGCCCCACGTACGTGTCTAGGTCTGGCTTGGGTCCCCATGTTTGCAATGCATCATAACACTGTGGAAGCATAAAAGTGTTGTGGGTGGGGGGGAAGAGAGGGAGTGGTGACTGAGAGGTGCTGCATCGCCATCCCTGGCACACACTACCATGAGCCCCAGGTACGTTTCTGGGACCGGATTGGGACCCCGGGATTGCAAAGCATCATAGCACTGCGGGACAGAATGGGAGGGGCGGCAAGATAGGGAGGGCACAACAATTCTGATGAGAAGGATGAAGGCAAGCTGGCATATCTGACTGGATGACCCAAAGCTCCCCTCTTGAAAAATTGTTCCAAAGAAAACGAAAGAACGACCGCAATGTTTACGAGAATCACTATTACTCACTCCTCTAAGACGAAACCATATCCAATGTTCACACGTACTTGCATACTTGTACTTGCAAAATCTGGGAAATGTATACTTGTTTAGACAAATTGACACCCCTCCTGCTCAACCAAGCACTCATGCTCACCCCGTAGGCCACGTAGGCAGGGGCGGAGGGCACGGCAGCCGCGGCGAGGATGAGCTTGTTCCAAAACTCCGGAGCCAAGTCGCGTGCAAACCCACTCGTTGACATCAGCTTGTATGCTCGCAACGCCCCTGAGTGATCCCCTGCTTGCAAGGAATCAACCGAAGAGCGCAAGGGAATGGAGAAAGAAGCACAGGAGCATCGGATCGAGGCCACAAGAGAACTGAATAGAAGGGAGTATGGTCAATAAGTTGTGATAACGGATGGGGATCTAAATCGAACCAAAGAGGATTATCAAGAGTATTATTGAATTATTCCAACCAGAAGAGTGTAACGTAAAAACATCACCGAAAAAAAAAGAGCATCCACAGCACCTGCAAACTGACTGACTTTTGAGTCGACCTAGCAGTCATCTCCAAACAACAGCAGGAAAAGGGGGGAGACTCAAACAGCTGCAAAGGGAGGAAGGATCGAACAACACCAATAGATTGATGTCAACGAGAATGTTGAATGTCTTGGCATCGGGTCGGACATTCTTGTCCGCTTCTAGCTGTTCATAGAGGTGCCAAGCCATTTCAACTCGAACCTGTAATGTCGAGGTCAGAATAAGGAGATGGCTAAAGAGGAGTGCAAAATCAGAAGAGCGCAAATTCATAACAGAAAAGCAGCTGAAGAGGACGAAAGCATCCTTTCTGGACAAAGAGGAGGGAGGGAGGAGGGAGGGAGACATGTAGATGGGGAGGGAGTGAGGGAGGAAGGGAAGGGTGCAAAGGTCAATCATGGTTGAAGGGAGCGGACTGTTTAGTGGAGCAAGGGATTGTAGACGGAATATAGGGAAGGAGGGAGGGAGGTGGGGGGGGAAGGGGTTGAGGGGGTGGAAAATGTGTGTTGTGAATCATTAGCACTTGAATAAAATCTAAAAATTTGTGGCACATGGGGAAAAGGAGGAAGGGAGAGTGGGTGCGGAAAGGAAGGGGGAGTGGGTGCGGAAAGCATGGGAGACCTATTTATGCGTCATGACTCACATTCAAATGTGAAATACTAGCACATATGCCAATCCAAAGATTGTGAAACATTCATTCAATAGGAATGGATGAGACCATGTGTACCAACCACACATTTGGGTGTGAATCACATCACGAGCACATGCATCAAACACAAGCACATGCATCGATCACAAGAGAATGTATCAAGGCATCGTGTAGAGGAGAGTGGTGCTGTGCTGAAAGAATGTTTTAGGCAGTCAGAATGTTATTCTCTAGCCTGTAGTGGGGTGCTCTATAGCGAGTACAACCCATCTAGGGTTTGCTATATGTATCCTCATTGCTGCTAGTGAAACCCCTCTCTTCTTCATTCCTCATTTCTTCACATGCTATCAGAGCATCTACGGTCCTGGCCTGTGGGCCCACCTAACTGCTTCCGCTGCTACTCTGTGTTCGGCACGCCACGTGGCGTGCCCCTCGCCCTACTCTTAGCAGCCCCGTTGCCGCCCTTCCAGGCCCCTCGCGGCCCCTTCGCGGCCCCATTGCCGCCCTTCCAGGCCCCTCGCGGCCCCTTTGCGGCCCCGCCGCCAACGGCCCCGTCGACGCCGCCAGCGACCCCATCGCCGACCCTAGCGGCCCCGTTGCCGCTCCTATCGGCCCCGTCGCCTCCGCCAGCGGCCCCGTCGCCGCCGCCAGCGGCCCCGTCGCCGACCCTAGTGGCCCCGTCGCCGCTCCCATCGGCCCCGTCGCCGCCGCCAGCGGCCCCGTCGTCGCCACCAGCGGCCCCGTCGCCGCCTCCGGCGGCCCCGTCGCCGCCACTTGCGGCCCCGGCCCCGCCCCGGCCATGTTCCGTTGCTAGCCGCGGCGCACCAGGGGCACGTGCACCGCCCCCCCCCCCCCCCCCCCCCCCCCCCCCCCCCTTTTCCCGTCGCCTGTCAAGGAGACCTGAGAGGCGACCTGGGGGAGGGGGGTGAGCATCGCCCCTTCTGCCGCCTATTTTGGCGCCCTGGGAGACCGCGCATCGCCCCCCCCCCCCCCTTAACCTCCCTACCCGCCGTCCCGCCCTGCCCTGTGTTAGGGTCTGGGGGTGGTGAGTAGGGGGTGAAGGGTGTGTGGTCTCCCCTGCTCCTCCTCCTCCTTCGTCTCCCACTGCTGCAGCTGTCGCTGAGGGGGGTGGATGTGTGGGAGCCTGGGGTTTAGGGTTTAAGGGGGGTGCTATGGGAGTAGAGCTAAGGTTCTGAGGGAGGTGGATGTGTGTGAGCCTGCGGTTTAGGGTGTAAGGGGGGTGCTATGGGAGTGGAGCAAGGGTTTTAGCAGTGGGTGTGTGTCGAGAGGTGTGGGGCAGCTGGAGGAGGTTGGTTGAACGGAGGTTGTCGTCGTGTCGTCAGCAGCACCAGTAGTCCGGGGCGCTGCTCCGGTAGCCCAATCGTAGCCAGTTGTACCAGTCGCCCGTGGGTCCGTTGCTCTTCTGCCGCTAGTCTTAGCCGCGGAGCCAATTACTCTAGTAGTCCGTGGCGCTGTTCCGGTAGCCGCTGTGCCAGTGTGACTCCTGTTGCCTGTGTGTCTGCAGCTTCAGCCGTCGCCTCCTATCTCCTCTCCTCTTACAGCCTCGCCTCCTCCTCCTCACTTGCCCTTTGTGAATGACTCTAGCTTTGCTCGCTATTGTGAACTCCTGCTCTATGCCTGCTTGCTCATTGTGCTGATTACACCCCACTTGGGCTATGGGGGTGTGTCAGAATGTTATTCTCTAGCCTGTAGTGGGGTGCTCTATAGCAAGTACAACCCATCTAGGGTTTGCAATATGTATCCTCATTGCTGCTAGTGAAACCCCTCTCTTCTTCATTCCTCATTTCTTCACATAGGCGCCTAGAAGCGAAACTCACATTCGGTTGGGAATATTCAGCATATGAATCAATGAATCTGTTGTACAAGTCGGTGGTGGTGGAATGAAGTCTACGCGGAACTCTGCAGTAGAGTCACCTCGCACAAGCGGAAAACAGGTTCCGCTACAGATGAAGGCGAATCTGCTGAGCAGAACGTGGAGCTGCAGAGAGCGCATCTGCAGAATTTTGGATCTGCAGAGGATGGCGCATCTGCAGAAGCGAAATTCTGCAGAGGACCGAGTCTTCTACCGGCGAACCCCTCCGGCGCAAAAGTGCGATCGTTTCAGAACTTTTGCGTGGGAATTTCGGAGATTGCATGACATTGAGAAATTGACCCTGGGAAACAGTGCGCGGAACTAGGGTATCAAATCTGGGGCGAAATTGAACCACCTGCACTGAATGAACATGGAGCACGTTTTCGCAACTACGAAAACGTGCGTTACAAAAGTTGTTTAAAACAATTTGAACAGCTAAAACAACTACTTTTAGGTAGGTAAAAATTACCAACTAAGCACGTGTTGTAATTTCCACCTGCCGACGCTGAGTTCGCAAAGCGCAGCTAAAAGTAGTTATGTAAACGTTCTTGGGCGAACGTTCTCTGCATGGTTCACTGGTTGGGTAGCTTCTATTTCACCCCTTGTTGTATTCTATTTTCAAACTATTCTAGTGAATTTTCTGTGTGTGCCAAATCTATGTCTTTCTCAACACTTAGCCAATTTTCTCTTTAGTGAACAACAAAGTTTGCGTGGCTACAGAGAAACATTTCGTAGAGCTCCAACTCCCGTTAGAGCAGAAATCTCTGCATGGTGCGGTGAGCGTGTATCGAGCACAAATAGAATCTGTTCTTCGACGTTAGGTCTCATTGAACTTAGCTAATTCACATGGTGGGCTCTGAGGAATTCCTCGAGACGTTCGACAATTTAAGTGAGCAGGAGGCTGCTTTGATGGCTCGTCATGAAGGCGGAGAAATTACCGAGCGGGAGCTCAACTTTATGCTCTTGAGAGCACGAGCTCAATGGGAGATGGACCATGCGCCGACTCGTTCAGAGGAAGACAGGGCATCACAGATTTTTGGAGACGACGAGAGCACTAAAGAACCAGAAGAAGGCGGAATGCAGGAGCCACGAGGTGTTCTAGGACAAGGAGAACTGATGAGCCCTGAAGAAGGATCGCAACAGAAGGCGGATGCAAGTCCGAAGAAGGCGACCGACAGAGGACGCATGAGCGGATGAGAATCTGCAGTGAAGACTGGTGGGAGCTCGACAATCTCTCATCCGACGACATCGAAAGACGGCGGAATTGCTCGTGACTACGGATACTTCAAATTTTCTCCCGACAAAATCGTGGTGCCGAAGCTTCTCGAATGACGTCATGACTTATCTGTCTAAAGGGGAGTCCATCGAACCTCAACCTGAAATTTCGTAGCTAAAGCTATTCATCGACGGCTCGATCAAGATTCCACGGCTGAGCGACACTTCATAGTATACATGATTTCACTCGGTGCAACTTCTGACCTTTATGGTGATATCGCGCTGCTGCTCTCCATGTCGTCTTCGAGTGGACGCAGGCTACCAGGCGTGGCACTTGATCATGGAGACCTACAAAGCAACGAACTATCTCTATATCGGCCAGCTAGAGAGGAGCTTGGCAACGGTAGAGATGGCGGAGCATGAGACGGCGACGACCTAATGCAATC